GAAACAGATCTAACGTAATTTTTAAAATTCCCTTAACGGACGAACAGTAAAAGGTCTAAAAGATAAGCTGTAAGAGCCTTTAGCAGTTTTCTAGAGATTTTGTAGCCTTTAGCGGTAATTAGCAATCCATAATAGACTACCAATTTTTCTTTTAGAATGTGACCTGTAAAATCCATAATTTCAATCAGTTCGAAGATTGAGCTACTAGTTCAAAAGTTACAGCCCTTTGAATTTTTTTTCGAAATTGGTTTCTAGTCTATAACTTTTGATTGAGAAGTCTGATCGAAAAAGTACGAATTGATTTGGATTCTTCGCACCCAAATTAATAAGAAAAAGTGTTTTCCCGAGAAATTTTGGTGTAGTCATTGTCTCATATCGACCCGGAAAAAAATTTTCTTATAGAATGTGGCCTGTAGAATCCATAATTTCAAACAGTTCCAAGATTGGACTACTAGTTCAAAAGTTACAGCCCTTTGAATTTTTTTTCAAAATTGGTTTCTAGTCTATAACTTTTGATTGAGAAGTCTGATCGAAAAAGTACGAATTGTTTTGGATTCTACGCACCAAAATTAATAAGAAAAAAGTGTTTTCCCGAGAAATTTTGGTGCAGTCAATTTTTGGTAAAAAAGGAAGGTTATACACTGCCTTTTTTTGAGCCCCGAAAAAAAAAATTGTCTCAGATCGACCCGGAAAAAAAATGTTCTTATAGAATGTGGCCTGTAAAATCCATAATTTCAAACAGTTCCAAGATTGGGCCACTAGTTCAAAAGTTACAGCCCTTTGAATTTTTTTCGAAATTGGTTTCTAGTCTATAACTTTTGATTGAGAAGTCTGATCGAAAAAGTACGAATTGATTTGGATTCTACGCACCCAAATTAATAAGAAAAAGTGTTTTCCTGAGAAATTTTGGTGTAGTCGATTTTTGGTAAAAAAAGGACGGTTATACACTGCCTTTTTTTGAGCCCCGAAAAAAAATTGTCTCAGATCGACCCGGAAAAAAATTTTCTTATAGAATGTGGCCTGTAGGTTTTGTCCTTTGTATTCAGATCTACAGACCCTAACATTTACAACGTATATATACAGTGAAATTCATTTAGAAGTAGACATAGGGATTTCCTCTATGTCTATTTTTAAATGACAAAAACTCTTCTGAAGGACTCCTAATTTTATGCAACCAAACTAACTTCTTAAAACAAATGAAAATTTTGCTGTCATATTGATTAATTAGAATATTATACGATGTATTCAACTGAAGAAAAAGTTCAAATTGTCAATTGGTAAAAATCCGGCAATAGTGGACACCATAAACAACCCTCACTTTCAACGGAGGATATGAAACTGAATGTTTTAATTTTGTGGAAGAAAATCCCATAAGAAACTTAAGGGAAATAAAAGCAGACTATTTACTGTAGTTTTTATGAAAATCTAGAATGACAATGGAAAATGCGTACGCGTGTTATTTCTGTTGTATATAGGAGTCTTTCAAAAGGACTTTTGTCATTTAAAAGTAGACATAGGAAATCCCTAATCACTTCTGGTACCCGAGACCCCAATCCATTCGCAACTATCCCGAATAATGTGCGTCAAAAGTCTCTAAAAGCCCTTAAGGGCATTCAACGGCCTTCTGGATGTATCTATCAACCTTTACCACCTATTATAAAAAGTGCGTGCGAGACTTGCGGAGGTTCTCTAGAACCTTAAAAGTCTTATACAGTGTTTTTGAGCTTTTAAGTGTTTTCAACGATCACCAAATGGTCTCAAATAGTCTCTTAGAATACCTAAAATGCGTATACAATATTAAAAAGGCTAATTTTAATTGTGAGGACTGAGGGTCGATCCTGGGAAGGATAATCAATATCACATTCCTCAATTGTAGACATTTAATTATCCACGTGATAAACAACCGCAAACCTACATTTCATTTATTTATTTACTGTCCCTCTTATTGTAGGTATTTACCTTACGAATTGGGAAAACTGCAGAAAAACCTAATTCGGAGTAGCCGGCAGAATGCTCGAAACTAATCTAAGGAAATCTTTGCCACAGATGAAAAATTCCTACCTCAGCCCAGATTCGAACACTCGACCTCCGGGTTTGTACCCCAACGTTCTACCACTGAGCTACAAAGCCGATTTCGCTATTTGACGGTTGATGCAAAGGCTAAAAGAGACTAACAAATTCCCAAACGCCGAATTCGCGATCATAATTAATTCTGTCCAAAATTCAGCAAATGAACACATGGAAATTTATTTGTTATAATGCTTATTTTCTCTGTTACACAATTTCGTTTAATAAATATCTATTCAATTACAAAAAAATATGCTCCGTTATGATAAATTTAGAAATCGAGAGATATTGATCAAGTGCCAGTTGCATATGAGAAATTTCTTAATTAAATTTTCATCTACTTGTCTGAAAGAGGATGAGAGGTCGCATATTGATTCAGAAATGCTTTAATTAAGTTGTCATGGCTCAATCTGTAATGAGAACGACATGCATAGTTCTACGGCAGCAATGGGGGAGTTAACGGTGGTCCAGAGGAAATCGCTCTCTTGGGGCTTACGGATGTTGGGGTTCGTAGGTATGGACGTGAATCACCAAGGCACGTTCAGCGGAATGCGGGCGATTTTTGGCAGCATTCTAAACGTATCCCTTTTTTTCCTGACCATTGTAGAGATTTTGCACCAGACTAACAGGCTAAGATCACTTCAAGGAATGCTGGAGCCCTTAGCGGGCTGTTACCAGGTTTGTGGAACAATACTTTGGCAGTAATTAGTTCGTTTCATTTTAGTGTATCATCAAGACTTTGTCTTTGGCTATAGCTCGACGTCAACTGCGAGAGCTACTTCTTCAAATCGGAAAGTTTAAAGATACCTCAGCGTTGAGCGTTGAATTACGCAATCGCCTACAGAATATCCAAAACAAGGTTGACAGATTCCTTAAGATATACATCTGTACATTATCCGTGGCGTGCGCAACTTTCATCGTACTTCCGTTGACGGAACAGAGCTTGCCTTTTCCGATCAACAGCTTGGAAATCTTCAAGGGATTTCCACAGTACAAAATTCTGTACGTCTTGGAAAGTTTTACCTTAGTTTTTCTTGCGCTTGTGGTGTTGGGATGGGATGTAATGTTTTACTCCTTTGTCTCTTGCATTTACTGCGAGTTCGAGGTGGTGAAGGATGAATTCAAAAACTTGGAGTGGAACGGGGAAGAGTTTCAGCAAAAGTTTAACGCCGCTATCGACCATCATCAGGTTGTTTTGAGGTAGGCAAAAAGACGCACCAAGACCCGTTAGTTCAAACTCAAAGACCTTTTTGTGCCAATGGTTGTAATGTGCTCGAGATTTACTAATCGTTTGCTTTCAGCTGTCTACCGAATCTTAATTCAATTTGCGAAATGACCTTACTCAACCAGTTCCTAACGATAGCGGGGACGATTTGCGCCTCTTTATTTTTACTACGATCAGAAGGGTGAGTTTGGCCAACTCTGAGTTTCGGTCCTGATTTATCCCACCTTCAGATTAGACATCTCCCACATGCTGCAGCAGCTAACATCATTAGCAGGAATACTATTCCAGTCATACTTGGCATGTTTCGCCGGTAGCTCTCTTTCCGACCAAGTTAGCGGATAACTAATTTAATCAATTGTACCAATATCGAACTGTTTCAGAGCGAATCCGTTGGGATGGTAGTTTACAGCGCACCGTTTTGGATAGATGCTCCAGTTGAGGTGAAGAAAATGATCGTAATGGTCATACAGAGATCCCAAAGGGACGAAGGCCTTGCCATACGAGGAATGGGAAAGGTAGATATGCAACTCTTCACGAAGGTAAATGGTGCTTAATCCATTTTGGCATTTATGAGACCTTGTGCATTTCAGATCGCGAAGCTCGGCGTTTCTTGCCTTAACGCAATGCTTGCACTGGACGCTGGCAAAAAATAATCGTTCTAGAGTCTAGACGCACTTAATTGCCTGCTCGTCACGTTTCTCACTCCACACTGCAACCTAACGTCAAAATATCTTGTTTTACCTTCTCTTCACAATGCAAGTTACTCACAAAGCAAAAACATTGCACCACAGTCCGTTCCTAGCGAATATTATAATATAATAGAGTGCAGTATATAGTAGAATACATAGAAGATTGCAGAAATTGTATAGTAGTGTCACGGGCAATAAAATACTGTGTAATTAACTGTTAATTTATTCGACTATAATTTTGAATTCTGAACAAAAAGCCTAGAGCCTGAATGCTACCGCATAATCGAATTATAAATCTGATCCATGAAGCCTTAAATCTAGAAGCGTAAGGCATGAGGAGGCATGGAGCCTCATTTTTATCTTGATCGAGAACCTTGACGTCGCTAGTCTTCGCGAAATTGTCAGATTCGGTCCTGAAGGCATCTGATTCTCGGTTTCTATAATTCCTCATATTTAGCATCTTCGAGTAAGAAGTCACGGATTCTGCGAACAATCACGAAAAGGTTTCCGAAGAAAACGTGTTCGTTCAATAGCCAAATTATGCATTAAAGCTCACTCGTCTCTCGTAAGCAACCGAGTTTCAATACAATAATTGAAGCATCGTGAACACGTCTGTGGTAGTTTAATCACTTACCTTCCCTCAAAAACTGATCTTCGTGTAATACTGGGTGAGGTATGAGAATCCCGGAGAACGTTCATCTTGAGAACGTATGGATTGGCTCCAATCCCCCATCGTATAGCAAATCCGTTTAGTTCACAAAACCGGCATGGCTATGAATTCATAGTCATTCCGATTCATTTGAAGTAAATTGACTGCCGTAGCGAGATGGGCCGTTTGAAAAAACATTGAGGTAAACTTTACGTAATCAAGATGATAATCTGAGAAGATGCTCACAACTCACCTAGTACTAACATGCGAAGATCAGCCGAAATTTGTAATTCTTTACTTTCCGTAGCCACTATACACACAGATGTTCACCTTCCCCCACTGATAGATACATAAAAAATAATACACCATGCTTAGAAAAAGAAAAATCCTACCTTTATAAGGCTGCCATTCTGGAATCTGAAATAGACAAAACATTACTTCAAAATGCAAAAATAAGCAGTTTTGATGAAGGGAGACATCAAAAGATGAGAGCCTCTCTTTTTTTGCGAGTTAATTAAAAAAAAAAAACTTACCCTTAGCCTTATTAAATCGGCGTCTCCTGGAAACGACCACACAACCGCAAACAGGAATGGAGAGCTGGCGGTAACTGAAAGATAAAATGGAGTATTTCAAAAAAAGGTCTAATGCCCTATTGGCGATTGATAGATTTCCAAATTGCTCTACATTAAAGACAGTGGCGTACTAACCTGATTTATCTGTTCCGCCGCATTTAAAGAAATCAGGGTGCATCTCAGAGGCTGGATCTTCACAATTTGAGGTCTTGGGAAGTATCTCCTTTGGCGCTGCGAACACACGGAAAGATCAGTAAGTTGGCCGAGTAGGCCGATCATATTTTAAAGAAACATTTGTCGGTGTGCTTTCTTTATCAATCATTTCAGTCTTTATGGCATAAATCGTATCATCAAGGGCAATAAATTAATAAAGAAACACACATATTCTACTTCAATCGCACTTACCTTCCAAACTGATCTTCTGAAATAATAAGTGGGGTACAATAATCTTCGAAGGCATTCAGGTTAGGTACGGAAGAATTGGCTGCAACTTTTTCAGACCATTGTAGGAACAATTGCAGTCAATTCTACGTCACCAAGATGATATGCTGAGAAGATAGTTGCAACTTACTACTACAATTAGAAGATCAGCTAAAAAATAGGATCACAAATCTTCCTTTTAGTCACATTACACTATTCACTCCCCCCCAGCTGAAAATACAAAAGGAAAATGCACCACACCCATGCAAAAAAAAGAAAATCCTACCTTTATAAGGCTGCTGTTCTGGAATCTGAAAGAAAAGAAAAGCAATCGTTAGAAAACACGAAAACGGAAGACAACAAGTCATCAAAGCATGTTTAATTAGAAGTAATTAGCCTATTATGACATAACAAGGGAACACGAGCCGCAACCCTTCATAAGGAAAAGGACCCGAACTTTTATTAGTATGACATAAATCGTCTTAGGATAAGAATCAAGTGTTTAGGTAGATACGTTACAGTGTTTTCACGATCTCCCAGACCCTAAAGGTTGCGTTCCGTTTAGCGGAAAGCCCAACACGTGATAAAAGGCGGGATTTGTATTGGTTACCGCTCATACCACAAAACGTGCGGTCCGTTTGAACTGGTACTCGGCAAGTTACAATTTAAGTAAAAATCTGGTGGGGGACATTGATTCTGACTGAACGGTTCGCGGTGTTTGTAGGATTTGTTGTACTCACAAACGTAGAGATTACCGCCATATGAACAAAATTGTGTAATTTTTTATATAAATAACAAGTACCTTCAGATCAAAGATAGTAGCAATGTGTCGTTTTTCTCATTCATTGTAAAATTTAGAATATTAAGTTGGAAAGGACGAACGGACGGAGGTATTTATTACGGGGTTACACATAAAAAATGAGGTTTTTAACACAATTTTGGACTGACGGCACTTTCCAGTAGGAGGTGAGTTGATCGCATGGACAGATCGATAGACGCCCGGACGGAAATATTTCTTCCTATGATACAACATGGCACAGAAATGAAATGTCTATCACAATTTCAAGTTGATGGCATTGACAGATGGGCGGACGGACGGAAATATCTTTTTCTGTGTTATACCTGACAAAAATGAACTTTTTTTCCGAAATTTCAAGCTAATGACACTTTCTGTAAGAGATTGGGTAAACGCATGGACAGATGGGAGGACGGACGGACGGAAATAATTTTTCCAAGGTTATACCTGACAAAAATAGGTTTATATATCAAATTTCAAGCTTTCCTGTAAGAGGTTGGGTCAAAGCATGGACAGATGGGAGGATAGACGGACGGAAATAATTTATTCTGGGTTATACCTGACAAAAAATAAGTTTTTATTCCAAATTTCAAGCTGATGGTACTTTCCTGTAAGAGGTTGGATAAAGGCATGGACAGATGGGATGACAGACGGACGGAAATAATTTTTTCTGGGTTGTACCTGACAAAAAATAAGTTTTTATTCCAAATTTCAAGCTGATGGCACTTTCCTGTAAGAGGTTGGGTTAAAGCAAGGACAGATGGGAGGACAGACGGACCGAAATAAATTTTTCTGGGTTATACCTGATAAAAAATAAGTTTTTGTACCAAATTTCAAGCAGATGGCACTTTCCTGTAAGAGGTTGGGTCAAAGCATGGACAGATGGGAGGATAGACGGACGGAAATAATTTATTCTGGGTTGTACCTGACAAAAAATAAGTTTTTATTCCAAATTTCAAGCTGATGGCACTTTCCTGTAAGAGGTTGGGTAAAGGCATGGACAGATGGGATGACAGACGGACGGAAATAAATTTTTCTGGGTTATACCTGATAAAAAATAAGTTTTTATTCCAAATTTCAAGCTGATGGTACTTTCCTGTAAGAGGTTGGATAAAGGCATGGACAGATGGGATGACAGACGGACGGAAATAATTTATTTTGGGTTGTACCTGACAAAAAATAAGTTTATATTCCAAATTTCAAGCTGATGGTACTTTCCTGTAAGAGGTTGGATAAAGGCATGGACAGATGGGATGACAGACGGACGGAAATAATTTATTTTGGGTTGTACTTGATAAAAAATAAGTTTTTGTACCAAATTTCAAGCAGATGGCACTTTCCTGTAAGAGGTTGGGTCAAAGCATGGACAGATGGGAGGATAGACGGACGGAAATAATTTATTCTGGGTTATACCTGACAAAAAATAAATTTATATTCCAAATTTCAAGCTGATGGTACTTTCCTGTAAGAGGTTGGATAAAGGCATGGACAGATGGGATGACAGACGGACGGAAATAATTTATTTTGGGTTGCACCTGACAAAAAATAAGTTTTTATTCCAAATTTCAAGCTGATGGCACTTTCCTGTAAGAGGTTGGGTAAAGGCATGGACAGATGGGATGACAGACGGACGGAAATAATTTTTTCTGGGTTGTACCTGACAAAAAATAAGTTTTTATTCCAAATTTCAAGCTGATGGTACTTTCCTGTAAGAG